TTGAATACTCAATGAAATTATCTTTTGGGAGGTGGGTAGGTGACATCGTTCATACAGAACCAGGTACAAGGTCATTTTTAACGAGAACTTACTATAAAATCTTTTGAGGCATCACGGTTAATTATGTTCGCATTATACACATATAGTATTTGGAAGAGAAATAATCAATCAGCTATAGATTATAATTATGCTTATGTGTTACATTTAAAAGGAGAGCCGGAAGGCATAGCAAATGAAACGTTGCGACAGAAACAATAACGAGGAAAATAGGTCGGAGAAATCAATGCATAAAGGTAAAAACAGTCCACGTCTCTGAGGCTCAGATATAAAGCTATAAAATATGAAACTAACCGAATACTTAAGTGGCTAGTCATTTCATTCGCCCTCTACTTACATATTGCCTGAAAATAGGTTTCTTCGTTGATTCTTTTCTTGTGAGGTTACACATTGTCAATTCTGAAATGCTGTTGCAATAAAACACTTAGGATTGTACAGCTGTTAGAATGTTGTTATTACAAGCCTCTGCAAGTCAACTCGATCCTCGTCGAGTGGGATGAAAATGTAGCCCGTTATCGAAGTAAGTTTGTTAAAAATCAACTAACTAACTAAATAAAAAATAAGTATTCCTGTGGTTTGTGTAATCTACAAGTTTAATAAATAAATTCATCATTCGATTTAAAAATGAAACATTATTGAATATTATTTGACAAGTATTTGTAATTTTGATTTCAGTTGCTTTTTATTACAACGCCCAGATCATCATTGTACAACTATTGTCTCTTTCACACACACACACACACACACACACACACACTGAAAATATTTATTAATCTGTTCAGTTGACAACTTACCCAGTGTCTCCTGTATCATGCCGCACATTTCGAACATCTCTTGAATTCAATTCACCAACAAATAGAAAACCTCATATATTTTCCCGAGCGTCGGTTGTGCGAGTAGCCTTATGGATAACGGTTCGAAATGAGAAATCTGAGTATCAAGTTCAAATTCTAGTCGAGTTCAGTACATTCACTTATGCGCTAATACCCTTGAGAAAATCTATGAAACTATTTCCTCCCATCAACTGCTGGCTAAATAGTAAGACTTGTAGCTGGACAATTCTTTGTTATCTCTACAATATTATTAATACATACATACATACATACATACATACATATATATATATATATATATATATATATATATATATATATATATATATATATATATATATATTCTGGGTAATCCAAAATTTGTTTTCGCCATTAAATAGCTCACGAATGGTTGATAAGCCGTGAAAAACAAATCAATCAATCAACATTTTCTGCTCATCATTCTATGATTGTTAGTAACCAGCATTGACTAGAAATAAAGAATTAGTCTCCGGTCGAGATTCGAAAGCACATATTTTTTTTTTTTTTCATTCCGGCGTAGCTGCCTTATTAAAAGTTTATTTTTTCTTTCTGAAATTGGGGAGGAAATCGGGAATTGGGAGGAAATGCAAAATCAAATTCAAATACAAGAAAAACTCGTAAAAAAATAAAATCAATATACCGTATTTGACGGCATATAAGACGCACGGGTGTATAAGACGCATTCCAATTTCAGAAGGGAAAATCAAGAAAAAATTAGTGATTAGTAAAATAAGTAAACCTACATATGGCATACAAGACGCAGGGGAATTTTAAAAGATATATTTTTTTGGACATTAGATAGCGATTGATATTGCATTTAGATTTCTGCAGATTAAAGTTAACTAGAAAGCATGGGACCGAGAGGGAGTTCCACAAGCGAGAAGTGCGAGAGAAGTAACTTTTAGCATAGAATTTACGGCTTTAGCCAGCACAATTGTAAATTGATGAGATCTCGACGCCTGTCTGGTGCTGCGCTTAAATTCAAAAAGTCTAGGTTATCATATCAAACGCGAAGAGCTCATTCTAACTATTATCATGAAAGTATTTATAAAAAAGGCATAGAGAGGCAACCTTACGGCGGTGGGAAAGTGATTGGAGCTGAGCCGTCAGATCAGGACCAATAATATTGCCGATTCTTCTTAGGAGCTCAAGGTAAATGAGTCATCGGACCATATGCGGCATCAATATTCTAAGCATGACGAATAGTAGACTTATAGATATGTAAGATAGATTCTGGAGAGAAAAATTGTTTCGCTTAATATAGCGAACCGACTTTCTTATTAGCAGACATAGCAATGGATTCAATATAGTCTTTCCGTTTCATATCAGCAGAGGACGGGCTCCCGAGAAGGTGCAACGAGTCACTTTCCTGGAGGATAGCATCAGCCATGCTGATGGAAGAAGAGAGGAGTCTCTTAGATGAGTAACGGAGAGAAGTTTAGTTTTAGAGGCGTTAAAATTAACAAGCCATATTCTACCCCAGTTAACTACGGACGATGTCGTTTTGGACATCGGCTACCATTTTGACTTTGTCAAACTGATAAGCCTTACTATCGAGGCAAGATTAAGTTGTGTTCTCAGTGTAGATACCAAGTTGATAGCTGATGTCATCAGGAAGGTCATTAATGAAAATTAAAATAGAGTAGGACCAAGGATGGAATCCTGGGGGACCATATGCGTTAGTATGAAAGGATCTAGACGAGTGGCCATTTAAGATAACTCATTTCACGATTTGATAGGAAAGACTGGATCAGTTCAAAAAAGATTTAATAAAGGGTTCAGTTCGAAATTCCCTGAATGTTACGCAGATCGACAGACCATTGAAGAAGGCCAGTGTGAGCAATGGCCAAAACGTGATAATAAGAACAAAAATGAGGATGTTAGTTTGAATGTAAATAATGATAACTTTTCATCCCAGAAATTGAGCGAAATTACATTTTTCGAAATCTTTTCTTGGTTAAGCCAAAGATTTTCCAGCACACCTTCGTACATAGAAATATTGGTCGTATCAGTTTTATCTTTGCAATTCATTGTAGCGGACGTGATGTTTGTTTAAAAATAGATGATCTCAACTGTATTAAGTGGCAGGATTAGTATAAGAAAAAAGAAAGAAAGAAAGAAAAAACAAATATCATAATAAGAAAGCGTAATAGCTTTTTTTCCTGAATGCTATAATATAAAAAAGTCATTAATATTATAAAACCAAATGACCGGTGATATGGCGGATCGGATTTATTAAGCAAATATCTCAAAATCTTTTTATCCTAATAATTACGTATGTAACGACGCAACATTTTCTTGCGTTAGTGGGGAAAGGAAACGATTGTACATAATAAACAAGCACAGGAAAATTTTTATTTATTCTAATGATTGACATTTACAATGACCTAACAATTTCTGTTGAGTACGGAAAATGAAACAATCACTATGGTTTTACTTTTGAAATCTGCATTTAAATCAAATATATTTAAGCAAAGTTTTCCTATTAGCACCCACTGACTATTACACCAGTTCTCGGTTTAGTGTTAGTCAATTTCTGAGTTAACGAACTAAATATTTCTTGAATTTGGGGAAAAGAATTTGATGATTAAATACTGAATTTGGTAATTTTTACTTAAAATTTGTTTTAGTAAGTTTCAGGACTTAACCTGTATGTTGGACATTTAAAACGAAGAAAGATATATGGCTTAATTACCGTTTACCGGAAAAAAACAGTCCTGGAGGAAGAAAACGACTTGAATAAAACAATTGACTCAATGGAATTAATAAACACAGTTAACTTGCTCATAATTAAAATGGCGAAGAATGAATTCGAAGGAGAAAATAAAAGGAATATCAACTCATAATTTAAATAACGTCACTTTACCTATTATTGTGCTAAATGCACCTTCAATAAGCAATTCAACCTAATTACAATCAACATTAGATAAAAATAGTAACAAAAGTTCAATTATGATGATACAATTGTTCAGTGAGGCCTGAGTTGTTGTACTTCTCAAAATATTGTACTGAGATTGCATCACTATTTTAGTCAATTAGGCTTATTCCACACACACACACACACACACACACACGTATATATATATGCATATATTCTTATTTTATGTGACTTATACTTTCAAGCTATGAGGGCTCATGGTTCTCCACTACCTTCTAACTTCTGTAGCACAATGTTTTTCTATTATCCTCCTATACCCATTTCTGCTATCCATTTACACAAGCTCGTTAGGCAGGTTATTTCCTGATTCTCTCCACCCCTCTTGTGTCCAAGAGCCTTGGATACATTTGGCACATGCTGGGAAGTGTTTGTCAAGCCTTTTATCGCCTTTTGTGTCCTAAAAAAATTCCTTTTTTTATTCTAAGTGTCTCTTTTTGTTTCCATTTTTCTTATTCCATCGCTCGTTGCAGCCATGATTCGTCCATAGTATTCTCATCATTCTGTTGGAGAACCACGTTTCTTTTGTCTGAAGTTTTCTCTTCATTTGTAAGGAAATTTTGCATCAATATTTTTAATCATTTCACCCCAAGCAAGGCAATAAAGTCACTAAGACGCAAGGGATTACAGAGTGTAAAAGAATATAAAAAAAAGAGAAAGAAGACATTATTAAGGTGAGAGAACAATAAACGAAAAGGAATTAAGAAAACAGAAGATAACGATTGACATCGTATTTAAGTTTTTGAAGATCAAAGATAACAAGAAAGGAAGAAACCTGAAGCGCGGCAGAAGAAAATGTTAACATAGAACTTACGGTTAATGTGCAGCTAGATGCAACCGTAAGCTGTACATGTCAAAATATTCACTGCCATATATGAGGGTTGATATTATTTAGCAGATCAACGTTCTTTTCTTTGTTTCTAACGAAATTGATGATTTTTAGAATGATTTCTACTATAGAAATGCATGAAACATCAGGAATGATGCTCCACATATTCAATATGTAGCTAAAATGAGCAAAGCGCCATGTCTTCTGGTCAGAATGAATACGTTTCCTGCAAAGAATCAACATTAATTATTCCTCGTTTTGCATTATTTCAGGTTGTGTCCTCGGGGGAAAATCTTATAAACTTACCGAGAAATGGAGTTTAGAAATGGAAGAAGCCGACATGAAATACTGCGTGAAATGCACCTGTCTTCCGGTAAGTACAATACATGTTTCCATTTTCATAGAAATTGGATTGGGGTCTGGAAAAGAGAGCGTTCATAATATACAGGCGGACAAAGCAGCTAGTCAGTGGATAATAAGCTTAAAAAAACCCGCAAAGAAACTTTACAGCTTACCACGCACACTAGTCCACTTCAAGCAAGGTGATAATGTCACTAAAACGCAAGGGACTACTGGGAGGGAAAGCTAATGAAAGGTACCGAAAACCTAATCCTAAACAGGATACAAGGGATAAACCTCTACTCCTGTTCAAAAGACTGGGGAGGTGTGTGATCCGAGGGATAGGTGAACATATATATTCCTACTGCGAAAACAGAGTAAATAAATTTTCAGAGTTTAGGGGGAGATGTTAGAAGTATAGTTGAAGTAGGCTTTAGAAGGAATCGGAAAGCCAATCCTTAACAGGAAACAATGGATAAACTTCTAATCCTGTTCAAAAGGTACATACAAACACACTCAGGCATATACACGCTTGTATATATATAAAAAAAGCTGGTCAGTTATGATAGGATATGCATATATATTAAAAACACACACACACACACACACACACACACACACATATATATATATATATATATATATATATATATATATATATATATATTAAATTATACAGAATCCGCCCGAAAAAATATGCACACTTCCGGATAGCCAAAAATTGACTTTCGTAGTTTTGTAGAGGTTTACCTATGGGTGATCCTAAAGGATGTTGTGTATCACAGAAAACTAACAACATTGGCGGGCCTTAAAAAAGAAATTGAAAATGCATGTGCAGCAATCCCAATGAACACTTTGGTTGACGTTGTTGCCAAAGCAATAATCCGCTGTATTAATAAATGCCAGGAACCTAAAGATCATCATTTGAGCATCTCTTGTGTTTGTTGAGTCCTAAGGTAACTTGTATTAACCGCGATGCCCGAATAAACTTAGTATAACAATATCTATTGTTTTTCCTTTTCTTTCCTGAGGATTTTTTTTTCTAAAGTGTGTATACATTATAGCGGACTCTCTCTCTCTCTCTCTCTCTCTCTCTCTCTCTATATATATATATATATATATATATATATATATATATATATATATATATATATAAACTTCAAATTCACTTATAGAATTAAATTAAAGTCCCTAGCCCTGTTTCATATTCAAGCGAATTTTGGAATACCTTATTTTGAAATTTACTGAGTTTTATAAGCACATACATTCATAATATTTGTTTCTAAGGATACGGGGAAATCCAATCATTTTAACAAGGGGTCCAATTAAGATTTAAAGGGAGAATCACAATCAATGAAATCACAAAAACTAGAAAAGAAACCGAGCTTAAGGTACCAGAAAAAGAGCGCGGACTTGACAAGATAAAATTTGTACAATAATATAAAGAGACTAGCAGCATGGCCCGGCGTTGCCCGTGCTTGATTCAAAAATCGTACGACTCATACAGCAATCGCTATCACTTGACTTTTGCCCTTCCTTGCCTTTAAAGGAGTGCCCTTTGCCGTGCTGATGTTGCTACATGCCTTACTTCTTGCCTATCTCACACTGCGAATTTTTTCTACGTTCTATACTAAACATTAAATCTGTTACGAAAAAAGAACTAAACAAAATGAACACAACACGATCAGCTTTAAAAAAAGCCTCGTAACTGGAAAAACCGAATGAAAAAAAGAATGTTAACAACAAATACTTTTTCACACCCAATCCAGTTCTGCGGAATCAGAATCAACGTTGAGTTTAAGCAAGTGAATAAGCCAATTGGAGTAAAGTGCCATGCAGATTTAAATTTTTCTCACTTGTGACGAATGCAGCTATCGATTTTTTTATATGCTTGCATGCTAGTTAACATTCGTGTCAGTCAGCTGTTGGCTCTCACGCTGGCCAATAGAATCTTCCTGCCTATTCGTGGCTGCCAGCTATAGGCTCTCACTCTGGCCAGTAGAAAATTGCCACAAACTACATGAAAAGTGCCATAGAAGCATGACAAAATAGATTTTTTCCACTATCGATAGGAGTTGGGAAATGCAAAAACGGTCTTGGCCTTCCCACTAACTTGGAGCATGTGCATGTAAATTTTGGTGAAAATCCGTCGAAAATTTCGGCCGTGCACACACACACACACACACACACACACACACACACACACACACACACACACACACACACACATCCTGCCTTTTATAGATAGAGATAAATTATCAGTTAGAAAACTTGATGGTGTCTGCAAATTTAGCTCTATCAAGCGATCCTCAGACGGTTCATAGACTTCAAGTTTCCCAATGTGACGCAATCCTCAGACGGATATATGTATCATCTGGGGATCGCGTCATAGCGTGAAACTTTAAATCACACTGAAGTTTTGCGTCTGTAAACTTCTTTATATATATATATATATATATATATATATATATATATATATATATATATATATATATATTTATGAGCAGTAAGAAAGCGAGACGGGGAGACAGCCAAACAGATTGTGTGATGTAATATTTGGGGGTAGAATTCTTTTCTTTTTAAGGTTGGTGATATTCTTTTATCTTACAATTTCAGCCAACTGTTTTTTGACTTCAGTAGGTGTTGAGAAGACGATTTCTTTCAAGACATTTTGTGCTTTATCAATGTTACGTGTGTCAAATTATTATTCAATGTTTTGATCTTGTAAAACATTGGCGGCAGAAAAAAAGTTAAGTGTTGAAAGATAAGAAGTTAAATCGTAGAAAAGGCAGATTATGACGATAGCAACCGATAAAAATAGTTTAATGTCTGCTTTCACTTGTGAAACACAAAAGCGCACTAAATTGCAAATAAAACGCACGTCTTCGTAGATTTATACGGATGCATATTATACATTTTATGTATAAATGTTTATACATGTATTTAAATGAATATATTATCCTTTAAGTGTTTTCTTCGTTTTTATGTTTTTCTTGGGTTTCACTCTTTGCATGTTGCAGGTTCATAAACTCATGACCATAACTTTTGTCGTCAGTTTTCCTTAACACGCACGTATATAGAGTGATTGAAGTAAATAATTTTTTTTTTACCATTTATACTGTAGAGTGTCATTTGAAACAACCCTTTAAGAGCCGTGATCTATCAGTCTATGCGTGTGTATGATTTTCGAATTCATTCGCAATTAATGTGATTTCACGGAAAATTTTATGTTCTTGTCTATTTTCACCTGTTTGATCATACATGTGTTACTAGTATAGACTAATTAAATCGATGTTTCTTTGTATATATATAACATCTACGGTTCTATAAAGGAGACAGTTAGGATTCAGCTCCACAACTATTTGCTTGAACTGAAAACTAAACATAAGGTTAAATTTGTCTCCTTGTCTTCTATCTATGACAATGTTACTGAGCTGATCTTCATAATTTGTTTAAAATTATTATTGCTATTAATTTTCAAAATAAATAATAAAATTTAATTTTTTTTTTTTTTTGAAACCACAGCTTTTAAAAATTTCATGTAAGTCTTATATCTGTAGGTCTTATTCTAGAAATTAAGTAAAAAAATAAATATTTAAAAACTAAACAAAAATATATTTCAGTCACGTAAGGTTGCTTCTCTATTTCTTTTCTATAAACTTTAATCTGCAAAAATTTAAATGCAATGTCAATCGCTATTTATTATCGTCCTGATTACTCTTTCTCCTTCCCGCTCATTATTAATGTTTCTGTTCCTAATTCTTCCACACCCTGTAAACCCTTGTGTCTTAGTGGCTTTAGTGACTTGCATGGGGTGATACCGATTTAAAAAAAATCAAAAAAAATCATTTTATTAGAAGAATCTGGAATCTTTAAAACTGAATATATGATTTACCGTCGTCTTTTTTATTTGATAGTGCCATATATATATATATATATATATATATATATATATATATATATATATATATATATATATATAGGCAATTTGAACGTTTTTGGCGCAATTTTGATGTGATATTTTCAGAATTCTGTTTTCATGCCGGTTTACGGCCATATCACGTTGAAATATCAGTTCTCGTACGATCACCAAAGTTAAGCAACGTAATTGATAATGGCTCGAAATTGTTAATCGGAGAGCCGAGTTCTATTTCCCGTTGTGTCCATTATATTCACTTACGCGCAAATACATTTTCTCCCCCATCAGCTATGAGTTAATTGGTAAACCATTATCCCCCCACACACACACGCAAAAGAATTTTTACAATCTAAACATATTTTCTGGTTTTAAATAACCTGCAAAGGGTTGATAAGCCGTAGAAAACGAATCGAACCAACCAACCAAAATGTTTTCATGTCTGTCATGTCTCGCTTGTTTGAATGCTTTCACTTTGTTTCCTTTTTTGTCTTTTCTTCTGGCCCTTTCTATTTCTTTCCTTTTATTTCTTCTCTCTTCGATATTAAACTTTCTTTTTCCTTTTGCATTTCTTTCTGTCTTTCTTTCTTTCTTTCTTTCTTTTCCAGAAAGCACAGTGACAAATCTTATTGGCTTAGATTATACCCATTCCCCTCACCCTTTTCCTTAACTCTGTTTTTCTTCAATTCATTCCCATTCATTTCCTACCCAACTTTTACTTCACTCACCCAACACGAACCTTCACCATAACCCGGGTCCCCTCCACACTCACATGAAAATATCATTTCCAAAAGAGACTTCATTACAGCATCCAGCGTGCTTGTTTATAGGTTTTACGAGGGAATTGTCAGTGTTAAGACCTCCGCTGTTAGAGTCCTCTGTCTGTAGATTACCCCTTTGGCCGCTAGTAACGGGGGATAGCGCGTTCTTTTTGTACCGGCGAGGTTGAAAACATACAAGTAAATTAGCCTGCCTCAACCAAGATTAGCGTCGGCGATATGGGGAGAATAACTCCAAGTTTCTTCTCTTTCATTGTCATTTATATTCTTCTTCTTCTTCTTCTAATTATTATTATTATTATTATTATTATTATTATTATTATTATTATACACTCTCTA